GTTTTTTATAGAAATAATGAAACGACTTTTCAAATAAAACTGAACTATAAAAAAAATGTATTTCAATGTAAAGTTCTTTTTAGTTTATTAAATTAGAAGTTGGCGCCAGTTCTTTCCCAACATTAAGACGTCTTAAAGACGACTAAAAGACGTCCTAATGGCTTTTCGGATGTCCGAAAAGGTGTATAGAAAGACGTCTAAAAGACGACTAAAAAACGTCTTATGTCCTGATTTTAGACGTCTTTTGAAAAGTTGTCTTATAAGACAACTTTTAGACATACTTTATTATATATACATTTATACATTATATATACTTTATATATATACTTTATTATATATACATTATATACATTTTCTAGACGTTTTCCTAATGGACAATATTTTATTTGTAATTTTATTGACAATAAATTTAACACGTTTAAAATAAAAAAGAATTTTAGTTTATTTCATAAACAATATCTACGTCGCATTGCATATAGTCTAATATAGTCACATATAGTCGTATACAGAATATAAAGATTACAATAAAATATTTTACAAAGTTTATAGGTATGTGAGCATAGTTTATGAAAGTATATTATTACAAAAAATCGAACGAAAGCCAAACCTAAATATATTACAAAGAATCGAAGCTAAATATATTACGAAAAATCGAAAAATCAAATTTATCAATTCACGTTATTCAACACAAAAAAATGCATGTCATGAGTCTTAGATTTAGTCATACAATATACACAATTTACTACAATTTCTAACGATAAAATATTTTAATTTTTAATTCTTTTGGACAAGTTTATCTAACACTTATTGTATGTATAAAAACATTAATCGATTGATTTATTTATTACAAAGAACCGGATGTAAATAATTTATTACAAAGAACAAAACGTTTATAATTTCTGTAAGTTCGGAGGTAATATTAGAGACTTTATCGAGGATAGGCTGCGCAAATTTGAAAATAAGCAGCGGAGGCGTGAAAGACTGCGCATTTGAATGATGTAGAATGAAAAAATTCCATAAATCGATGCATGTGTCTAATATTCAAGATTCATACCACAAGTTCGCACTAATTAATATATTTATATGACGTTAATTCAAATTGCTGTCAAATTAACATTGATAATGAATTGATAATGAATGAACGATCTTCTCTCTTATAATTGACTCCTTAATTTATGTAGAGCGCGACGATTGAGTTGACAATTGTGTTAACCATAAAAATGCACAGTCAGTTACATTTCATTATTTTGTCAAATTACTTAAAATTTTCGTGAGTCTTATTAATTATGAACATTTACCATTCGCATATGACCGATTTAGAGGAATTAATTCCATTTGAAATTATATTTAATTAATTATAATGTATTCCTATATAAATGCTGCCATTATTTCATAAAATTTATGTCTACTATTTTATTATATTTCAATAGATAAGACAATAATCAAATAATTTTCGCTTAAAAATTTGATTTGTGATTGTACTTTTTTTCGTTACAATTTTATTATATCTCAATTATATATTAATTAGATCTTCATACATCAAATCATTATGAATTGAAGCGATTTTATGAAATAAAAAAAGAAATATTATATCTATTTTCGATAATGTTTTTCTTAGAAAATGAATAATAACTCAACAATAATCATAAATCATAAATCATAAATCTGTAGAAAGAATAGATGAAATGTGAAAAATCCATATAATGGTCCATTACTACGTTACTTATTTTTAAAATGATTACTTCTCGTATTGCGTATATAACTTATGATTCGACAAATAGTCTCTCTCGCGTTTCGCGCGCGACAATTTGAAAAAGTTATTTACGGTTTATAGATTTTTTTAACATAACAAAAAGCGAATTGCAATATATAGAATATAAATCATATAAAAATATATCATCCATATACGAAATATTACACAATAAAGTAGAATTCTCGACCGTGTGCGTGTTTCTTCGTGGGTATTCTTTTTGTTTGCACACAAATAATTTTGCAAGATCAACCGCGCCATGGCAATTTTGCTCGGTAATGTTCTGTTTAATGGCCTAACAATAGACATCAAATCGATCAGAGCATCCATTGTTTATGCGTTACGTCATGCAACATTGATCGCTTCCTGAATATAATTGCATGATGTCAATTGTTGATTAACCGCTTTCTTTCACAAGTCTCGTAATTCTTGTTTTGATCTACGTTCATCAAAATTGTTCATCTTTAAATAAATACTGAATAATTTTTATAAACATATATCAAAAAAAATTGACATGCTGAAAGTGATTTACGATTTTACATTGATTACATTGACTTATATTGATATTGATATTGATTTTACATTACATCACAAAACATATGCAGCTATATGAAGCTTTTTATTAAACATGCGATACGTATGTTAATTATTTTTATCTTATTTTTTATTTTACAGATAACTAGATCATCAAGGAGCAATTTCACGATTTATGATTAGAAATTTATCTATATACTATTTTGTTCTAAAAAGTGAAAAATATTCACACAATATAACATAAATATATACAAAAATGTATCATATTAATTACCTATATGTTTAATATAATATTTTTGTTTAAAAATAGAAGATTACCCGGATTAAAGTCGTGCCGACATAACACGTACCTTTGCCACAAATCCATTAACGGAAAGAGAAACGTAATTCTGCCAGGAATGCCGGGATTGATTATAGATGCCGGAATATCGCGGCAATTATGAAATAGTTAATATGTAATAAACGGACTTGGTTAGGGAGCGCATGAGAGAGTGGACGTGAAAACGTGAGTGTGTGATTTAGATTAGAGATTCGAGTAGAATAAGTTGGCGGAGGAAGGTAGGGAAGTGAATGCGAGAAGAGGGGGATTGGAAGAGGTAGGGAGATTGGAGGGAGAGTGGAGGAGGAAAGTTTAGAAGAGATACAAAGAGATTTAGGAGAGCGTAGAGCGTTAAGGTTATGGCACCGGGAAGGGCGAGCGTGGCGAGTGCGGGAAGCGAGGCCGGTAAGGTAGGAAGCAAAGAATTGAGGCAGAGAAAGTTACTGACGGAGGACAGTGCTAGTGGAAAAAAGGTAACCTTTAAGATGACAGGGGCAGGAGAGGAGAAATCGGGGGAATGGAAAAACGAATGGTTGGAATTTAGGGGAGAATGGCTAAAAGAGGTGAAAGAGTTAAGGGAGGAGGTGAAGAAATTGCGAGAGATGGTGGAAAGAGATAAGATAGGGAAGCGAATGGGAGGAAAGATTTAGAGAAGTATGGGGGGAAAGATTAGGCAATGTAGAGAGGCAGATTGCAGGGATAAGAGAGCCGATGAGTGGGGGGGAAGGGATGGGGAAATTTCTCGAAGCGGAGGAAGTGGGAGAACGCGAGGAAGTGGATGTAGTAGGCTTAGTGAAAGAGAGATTAACAAAGTGAGAAAATGGGAACAGAGAGGGAGAGAGAGGAAAGGCGCAATAATATTGTGATTAAAGGTTTAGGGGTAAGATAAGAGAAGTGGAAGAGAATAAAATAGTATGGGTAGAGAATTTCATAGAGAAAGAATTAGGAATAGAATGTAAGATAAAAATGTGTAGGATTAATAAGGCAGTTGTAATAGCAAAGGTAGAGGGGGAGGAGAAGAAATGGGAAATTATGACAAATAAAAGCAAGCTAAGAGGGGGAAGGATATATATAGAAAATGATTTATCATGGGAAGAGAGGAAGATACAGGAAAGGATACAGAGATATAAAAGGGAACAAAGAGAAAAAGGGTTAGAGGTAAAGATAGAGACAGGGAGGGTTAAAATAGGAAATGTCTGGAGAAGCTGGGGCGAGATAGAAGAGGAGATAGAGAGAGATAGGAGCGGGGAGAGAGAGGAGGGGGGAAAGTAGGAGAAGTGGAACGAGTACAAATTTCGACTAAGCCGAGGAGGGGAGGAGGAAGATGAAGCAGAAGGGGAAG